AAACTAATGTATTATATGATGAAAAGTTATAATTATGGTAGTCATTTGAGCATGACTACTGGTATATTTTTGCCATAGGTATCTGTAGAAATAGGCATCATGATTCTATTTGAATACGTATGTGTAGTACATTTGAGAAAATTATTTTGAAAGTTAACCAGAGTTAGTTAGTTATTTATCTATATAATTTTGTTTTCCTATTAATATTTTATATGAAAATATAAGTGAATTAGATGACTGCTTTCTTTTATTTTTCACAATATAAGATAAAGGAAGATCTAATTCTAAAATGATCTGTCCTAAGGGGACAGATGCTCAGCTGCCTGTGTGCACCAACTTTTATTTTTCAATTTTATCTATTGTCAAAATCAATATGCTATTTCGAAACTGCCAAATTGGTTCTAGATATCTGAGGAACTATGATTTGGAGAGCAACTCAAGGTCAGTCTTATTAGGAAGTTACTTGAACCAGACAGTCCAAAACCAAAAGTTCTTTAGTAGCCCTCTTGCCTGGTGAAGTAGACGAGGCCCTGTCCACAAATTCACTTGATGTCTTTGATCTTAGTTCCTTACAGAGGGTAATAGGGATATTTCAGGAATTACTTACTTCATCCTTCATCCAAAATCAATATTCTGTGGTCCCTGTAAGTATTTCCTGAGGTTAATTGGTGGTGATGTGGAAGCATTTTAAAGAAAATTCAAAACTGAGTGAATTCATTTTACAGAAAAAAAAATATAAAGAAAAATGAAGTAATAGTCGATTTTTGTTTCCAATAGGGGCAAAATATAAGATACAGAATAAATAGGTATAAAATAAAATTGAAAACTGTAGATATGATGTGCAGGAATGTTTTGGGGAAGAACTTTTATAGGAAGATGTTGAAATCAGACAATGCAATTTATAAGCCTATGTACTTCCATTTCCTTTACAATTCTGCCTTATTCTGAAATAAACTGTCTCTGCCACATAGTTGTGCTGCAATTATTTGTATAATGAATTGGTTAATGAAAAAAATTATTTGGTCTAGATCATTCAAACTAACATCTTTCTTGTAGTAGAAAGTTGCCTTACCTCTCTTCCAGGCTGTGTATTTTTTATGCAACTCATTTTAGAAAGCCTACTCTGTTATACGTACAAATATCATCATTTATTATTTTTACATAAAATCTTTACATGACCTGGTAGAATTTTTTACCACTTAACACACCTAAATGTGGAGAAGTGAAATGCCCCTGATAACTTATTGCTTCAGCAAAACCACCTTAGCCTCCTGAGGCCAAGAATGTTGTATAATAAAACAAAGGGAATATTTAAGTACTTCCTGCAAAAATATTCTTCCCTTTATGTAACATAATTAGATCAGTAGCCATTCGTCTAATTGTTGCTCTGTTATTATGGCTCTTCAAAAGGACTAAATTGTTGTCTTTTGTAACCCATTGTTCATTCAGTAGCATATTATTTAGTCTCCAGGGGTTGGATTAGCTTTTATTTTTTATTTTATCATTGATTTCTAATTTCATTCCATAATGATCTGATAGAATACAGGGTAGTTTGTTTACTTTTTTTTATATTTGCTAAGAGTTGCTTTTTGGCATAATATATGGTCTATTTTGGAGAAGGATACATGTGCTGCTGAGAAGAAAGTGTATTCATTTGTTGAAGGATGAAATGTTCTATATATGTCAGTTAAGTCTAAGTTATTGATTGTATTATTGAGTTCTGTAGTTCCTTTGGTCAGCTTGTTTTTGGAGGATTTCTCCAGTGGTTAAAGAGGTGTGTTAAAGTCACCCAGAATTATTGTGCTGTGGTTTGTTTGACTCTTGAGAAGAGTTTGTGCAATGAATGTAGATGCTCCATTGTTTGGGGCGTATATATTTATTATTCTTATGTCTTGTTGACAAATGGTTCCCTTAAGCAGTATGAAATATCCTTTATCCCTTTTGATTAACTTTGGCTTGAAGTCTACTTTCTTTGATGTGAGGGTGGAAACCCCTGCTTGCTTCTGCAGTCCATGTGAGTGGTATGATTTTTCCCAACCTTTCACTGTCAGTCTGTGGATGTCTCTTCCTATGAGATGAGTCTCTTGAATGCAGCATATTGATGAATCTTTTTTTGTGCGTGTAATCCAATCTGCCAGTCTATGTCTTTTGGTGGTGAGTTTAGGCCATTAACATTCAGGGTTATTATTGAGAGATGATTTGTATTCCCAGCCATTTTTGTTTACTTTTGGTATTTAACTTGACTTGATTTCTCCTTTGATTAGTTTTTCCTTTAGTGTAGTACCTCCCTCTGCTGATTTTCATTGTTGTTTTTCAATTCCTCTTCATGGAATATTTTGCCAAGGATATTCTGGAGTGTAGGCTTTCTACCTATAAAGTATTTTAACTTTTGTTTATCATGGAAGGTTTTTATTTTATCATCAAATCTAAAGCTTAATTTTTCTGGATATAAGATTCTTGGTTGGCATCCATTGTCTTTCAGAATCTCCTGGCTTTGAGGCTCTGGATTGAAAAATCTGCCGAGATACACATTGGTCTCCTCCATATATGATCTGATTCCTTTCTCTCGTGACCTTTAAGATTCTGTCCTTATTCTGTGTGCTAGGCATTTTCATTATACTGTACCTTGGTGTAGATCTGTTGTAATTTTGTACATTTGGTGTTCTGTAAGCCTCTTGTATTTGATTTTCCAATTAATTTTTTATGTTTGGGAAATTTTCTGATCTCATTGAAGAGATTGTGCAACTATCCCACTCCTAGGTCTATACCCAAAGGACTTAAAAACAGTATACTACAGGGACACAGCCACATCAATGTTTATAGCAGCACGATTCACAATAGTTAAACTGTGGAACCAATCTACATGCCCTTCAATAGATGAATGCATAAAGAAAATGTGGTATATATACACAATGGAATAGTATTAAGCAATAAAAGAGAATAAAATCATGGCATTTTCAGGTAAATGAATGGAATTAGAGGATATAATGCTGAGTGAAGTTAGCCAATCCCAAAAAAAACCCCAATGCTGAGGGTTTTCTCTGATTTAAGGATGCTGATTCATAATGTGGTTGGGGGAGGGGGACATGGAAGGATTAGATGAACTCTAAATAGGGCAAAGGGGATAGGAGGGAGCAGGGGCTAAGAAAGACAGTGGAATGAAATGGACATCATTACCCTAAGTACATCTATGAAAACATGAATGGTGTGACTCTACTTTGTGTACAGAGATATGAAAAATTGTGCTGTATATGTGTAATATGGATTGTAATGCATTCTGCTGTCATATATAACAAATTTAAAAAAAGAAAAGACCCATAGAAAAAAAAGGACTAAATTGTTACCTGATGGACTACGTCCAAAAGATCTTTCCAGAAAAGATCTATACCAAAGAGATCTTTTCAAAGAGATCTCCCACTAAGATCTCTTCTGGAAAGATATTTTGTAGCAGTTCTTTGTGGCACAGATCTTGCTCTTGCCACTGAGTGCTAGGAAACTGTGTAGCTTGAAGATCTGCCCAACACACATCACTCAGATTAGACTGGACCCAAGAGAGAGCATTTCCAATTGGATTAAGAACCATAAAAAATTGTATTCAAGGACAAGGTAAATGTATTATTTTTTAATGTTCATCTTTACGAATTTTATTCTGAGCACATGTACAAGGTGTTCTGAGCCATATTTCTTATTCTATCTGCCCCCTTTGCCCTGGTTTTCCACCCTTGGTTCCGTGTACTGGCCGCCAGGTCAGTTGTCCTCAACTGGTAATTGCAGATACAGAAGTGAAGCATGAAGAATTTTTCTTTTTCTTCTGTTAAGTGGAAAGTGGCAGCTGTGGATATTTTTCCTTGAAAATTTTATGGGCCTGAATCCTTATCTGAGCCCTTGGGGATATTGGTAGAATTTCCCCAGGAGCCAAATAGCCCCTTGTGTCTTGGCTTTTATTACCTAGAGTTGTCTTCTGGTTCTGGGTCTTCATATCTTTCCATGTGCAATATCTAGGGAGATATCTTCCTTTAACTAGGGACCTTGTTCAGCCCTGGACAGTTCAGCCCTGTTGAGCAGTCATAATAGAAGTGTTATTCTCCTTTCAAAGTAGAGCAGTTAGGTAGAAGAATGGCTGCTCATTGAAGTTTCATGTTATATGAAGAGAAGAGTATTTTTGTAGGAAAGGAAAATGAATATTCCCTTGATTATATGATTTTCTTGGCCTCAGGAAGCTAAGGGTTTTGCAGGAGCAGTAAGTCATCACGAATATTTTCTTTCTGCACATTTAGGTGTTTTAAGTGGGAAGAAATTCTACAAATCCATGTAAACATTTTATATAAAAATAATAAGTGATAGTTTATGGTAGATGGAATAGAGCAGGCTTTTAAAATGAGTTTTGGAAAAAAAATAAACATCAGGGAAGAAACTAAGCTAATCATAGTATCATTAAAACAGCTGCATTTGGGAGTCCCTCCTATGTTTAGAACCTCAGACTCTTTCAACCTATGCAGAAGACCCATTTCTAGAAATATGTCAGTTGGATATTTGGAAAACATATTTGAGCTGACTTTGGCTTGGCATAGATTGCTGAATCCTCCTGATGATTTGCTCTATTCAAACTTGTATGAGAGTAAAATAATGTAAGTTTTTGTGTGTATGCCAAAGGAAATAGGGGTACAGGAAAAATATTTGTGCTAGGGTTTTTGAATTGGGAGCTTTTTTAAACTTATTACCTTCTTTGGTATTTATCTATTGAAGAAGATAAATATTGGCTGACAATGTGTCTGAGTTGAAGAATGGGTTGCGTCTGCAGAGTTTGCCTCAATCATATAGTATTGAAACTTAGAGTGTATGATCTGACATCCTATTCCCTGTGAAAATAGTCTTGCTTGTTTTTCATTTGGAATAACTTAGTATTCTCTCTAGTTTAGTTATTATAGTCATAATTTTAAAGTTTATTAAGTAAATGTACTGGTCTGGTTCCTTACATGCAACAAACTGTTTTCTTTCAGGTTTTTGCCTGAATTCATCAATGGAGACTTTGATTCCATCAGGCCTGAAGTCCGAGAGTTCTACAGTGTTAAGGTAAACCATGAACACGTTCATAGCCAAGATCTTTCTCATATAATTGCTTTTACTGTGTTCATTCTGATCTCGTTGGTCTGTAGACAGGGATTGAGAAATTCATTGTTTAGCTACTTTCATACTGTTTTATTATAGAAATTGTGATATATATCTAGAATCGAAATTTTTAAAATGACACATGAAAACTCAATCTTAGAGAAATTCTATCACCATCAAATAGGCATTTGATCAATCATATAAAGGCATATATTTTACATGAGCTTGTAGTTTTCATAAACTCATATAATAGAATTCTATTGTCTATAGTCCTCAAGTTATTATATATTTTTCACAAATAATCCTTTTAGTTTTATTTAACATATATAATCTATTTTTTCTTAACTGATTATCACTTGATACACATTTGTGTCTATTTTTTGCATTATAAACTACTAAAACATTTTCATATATAATTATATGTGTTCCTAGAAACTTAGAATGAAAGTTTTCCCTACAATGTTTAGTTTTCTTGATACTTGTTACTCTTTTCTGAATAAAACTATTCAATACAATTTATGAATAGCCTATGATCATCAAGGTGTTCATTTTGTCACTATTGTGAAAATCTTCCAGTGATCCTTGTCATATAAGAATATTTATGTGATATAATTGGGGATGATAGAATCTCATAGAAGTGCATTAAAGTAATTAATAATTCAAGGTTTCACAGGGTTTTGAAGGCAATGCAGTGTTTTTAAAGGAAAAATTACAGCGCTACTGATTCTTCTATCTGAAATACCATCATCAGTGTTATTCTAAACTGAGGCTGGCAAATTACACATTTTTAAAAAAGGAATAACAGGCATTGAGATTATAATACTTAAATTCTTTATAAGGCTTGGGGAGACATGAGACAAATTTAAAAAGAAAACGTAAGAGTCCATTTTTAGAAAGGAAGGAGAGGGGGAAAGATGAATGTAAGTGTAAGGAGAAGTAAGAAAATAAGGAAAAGTAGAGAAAAATACCTTGATTGTAGATGGGAAAACAAAGGTTCCCTGGTAATGAAGTATAGGCTGTTGTGAGGCACAAATTCTGGGGTTGGCAGTGAATGCAGATCAGTGCCTGTTCCATCTGCCCACCAGCTGATCAGACTTTCCTTCAGCAAATGAAGACTGTTCCCAAGTCAGTGTTTGATATTCATGCTCAATTACCTTAACATTGGCATGTTCCTATTCATTCCCCACAGTCTCACTTCTCATTAACTCCATACCTCCACCTCGTTGGGATGGAAAGCCTCAGCCTTGCTTACAAGGCAGAGTTTTGCAAATGCATAGATATTAATCATATTTTCGGGAACAGAGGCAACAGCGGGGGAGGCAGAGATAAGCATAGTCAAAAACAGGTTGAAGATCTGGCCAGATGTGACTTATCTCCCTGGCTCTTAACGCCACTGGCTTGTCAAAATTGGTGGCACCAATCTGATTATTTGTGTTCAGAATGTGGGCACAAGGGAGGCCGGTCTTTTATTTCAGGATGCAGTGAAGTGGGGATAGGGTGAAACCAAACTTCTAAGTTAATACCTCATCATAAACTTGTATTCCTTTGCTTGTTTTTAGCACTAAAAATAAATTCACAGTTGTTGAAGGTTAGTTTGTAATGTAAGGTTTAGCCGGGTCTTCTGATTTCTAAACTGCACTGTTCAGGGTAGGTATAGTGCAGTTCAGTTTGCTCATGTGAACTGACTGTTTTTGAACTTTCAGGGCATGTTCCTAGAGGGCACAGATGATGTCTTTTATATAGTTAAATGTGTCCTACAGAGCTCATGGTGAGTGTTTGGCTGTAGCTTTAATAATGATGATCATTACAAGTTAATGCAACATTACACATAATTCTTACAAGCCATTATCTCCAACTTCAACAGTCTTTAAGCTTCTCTTTCAAAAAATAAGGTTGTCTCCCACTTTCAGATCTGCCCTGCTCCCAACCGGGTCTGGGTCTCTAGTGAAGAGAGTGAAATGAAAGAAGAAATTTAGAAAACTAAGTTGGCTAAAGTCATAAGGTGGACTGTGGAGTCGGCATGTATTTATGTGTGGTGATGGCTTTGGGACTGTCTTGCAGTTCTTAATTGACCCTCTACAGCCTCCTTCCAGGTAGCTGTAAAGTCTCAGGCCCTCTTTCTCTTTTGTCTCTTTGTCTTATTTGTTCTCTGTTGGTTCACTATCACGAGAGGAATGTCTCTTAGAGCTGTACACTTTGTTATTTTATGTTCATTTTTCTAGGTCATTCGATGTTTCTTTAATTCAAGACTCAATTATCTATTTCAGTCTTAATAATTATTCCACCCATGATGTTTCCATACATTTTATCTTACTGGAAATGGGAAGAGAAACTGTCCTATGTCATCTAACTAACTCCTGATACTCTCTCTGCTGGATAGTTGGCAAGGCCTTCACTAGGAAGGGAATTTTTGAGTATGCTTCTTTAATATTTAAGAGATTGAGGAACTCATTGCAATATTTAGATAACTCCTTAAAAAGTTGTGGAATAACAATTTTTTTTCCATAAATGAGGATAATTAGGACTGGAGATAAATATGTTGTAAATGTAATAATAAAAATATAATTTAAAATATGATAAAAAATTAAACAAATTGTTAGCCTTATTTCCTAATGAGGATGTTAAGGCCCCAGGAGCTGAAGGCTCCTGAGTGAAATGGTAGAGCTGACAGCTGTAGGATCCGTGTCCATGCTGTTTGTGAAAAGACTGTTGTTGGAATTTGGATTTCTCAACAGGTAGCACCTTTGGCTTTGGGGGGGAGCAGTTGTGCTTGCATAATTGTTAGCTTCTCTGGGAATGAATGCCCCTGTCACCAACAATGTGATAGGAGTCTATGTGGTGACCAAACACTCTGCCTTCACATTTCCATTTTGCCTTGTACCACCCTCAATTCTGGGGCAGTAAGGCTAAGGTGCTAGTTGGGCCAGACCCCAGATGACCAAAAATCGAATATTGGTAAATTACCTAAAGGCAGGATCAGAGGATGATATTTAAGCCGTATCACAGGATGTAGACTGAGCTGTCATATATCATTGGAGAATTGAGATGATCTGGTAGTAGGCCGTTAGCGTGGTGACAGTAACACCCTTTAGATATGAGAATGCCTTCCTTTATACCACATGGGGGTATTTTGGCTTTCCATTAGAGTTCTTCGATCAACACAGGCTGTGTTCTGGACAGAGTGGCGAGATGACTCTCATCCTGAGAGGAATAAGACTCTAGGCTCAGCCTCTGATTTTAATCTTCTCTGTTCATTCTTCCAACCTGGAAGAACACTGTATGGTGTCAAAACAGTGGCCAAGAGTATTGGACCATGGTGCCCAAAGAACGGCAGCTACAGAGATGACCAGAGACGACCAACTCAGGTGTAACGGGGAGTGGGGCTAGCAGGACTCAGTTGAGGCTCAGCTCCTTCTTTTCCAGTACAGACATCACAAGGTTGGTCCAGGCTACCAGGTGATTCCAGCGCTGTATAAATTAGAAGAGCTGAGACAGAAATCCAGGCTGGTGATTGTTATCCGTTTTTATTTCTCTGAATTGGAAAATAGAAAAGTTTTAAAGCAAATGACATGAATGTGTTTTATTAAGCCAGTGTTTCCTGATGATGGTTCCTCATTGTCATCTAATACTGGCAAGGCCATACCTAAGTTTTTGAAGCCTTTTCTCAATGGACAAGGATAGATTATCTAAAATTTTAACCCAGTGCTCCCTTTTATAAATATAAAATGCTGTAAAGGTGCCATCTGAAAGCTGAAAATGGTTCATCAGTTTACATTTTCCATACTGACTGTTGCCTGTGTAAATGTGTTGCAGTTACATTTTAGGAAACTGGAGATTTGGGTTTAAATACAATTTTCTCAGTCAAAATAATCATAAATTGGCTTCCAATTGACATTTAGATAGAATGACTTTTTTCATAAATGGATTACTGATGAAATTTGTATTTTAATTACAATTAAAAGATGAGGATACTGATTCTCGAGTGATGAGGGTAGGAGGGTGGAAAATGGAGTTGGGGGGACGGGTAATTATGACTGTCAAATAACTAAGACTTAATCCTGGCTATCAATTTGTACATTTTAATTTTTTCTTAAGTAATAGATTGTTTTCTTCAACTACAAATTATTTTTTGAGTTGTTAGTTTACATACATACAAGCCTTATTTCCACATGTTTTCTGCCCCTGATTTTCTCATCTTCATGTAGTAATGATCAAACCGTGGCATGTAAGTGTTCTGGAAATACAAAAGCACTATTTTAAGTTGGTAGTATTTTGTTTGACTTTCTAAAATTATTTGCTTATGAGCTTTTTAATATCTCTTGTTTCTCATGTTTTTAAAAATTTTTAATCAGTTCATCTTCATAATGAATTTATGAATATAATTGCAATTCATAATCAGAATCACTTGGAATATCCTTTTGAATTTGACAAAGCCTTGGGTTTGATTCTATTTAAATTTTCACAGAATGTCTGCAGTTGAAAACATCTGCGTTGATCTACCTCAACTCACAAATTCTATTATTTTCTATTTTTTGTGCTCTTTTCCAGTTCTTCCTAGCTACATGCCAATAACTTTTAGATATGGCAAAATAGTTAATTTAGAGAGAATGACAAACTGTGTTATTAGCAATTATAAAAATTTAACATTTTGATTATTATGCAAATCAGAAAAAGCTACAAAATATTTAAAGTTCAACTCCATATATTTGTATATCTCTTTTCAAAACAAAATAAAACCAAAAAAGAGAGACAAAAAATTCAGAGCCTCATAAATCTTTAGGCTTAAGCATGAAGACTAATTAACATGAGCTGAGATATAAAGCTGTTGTTCAGGGAATTATGGACAGGCAGTTTCCATTGACAGCTGAGTGACAGATTCTTCACTTTATATTCTTAAAACTGGCTGTCTAACCTTTATTAGCATCTCACCAAGGGAAGGATGAGACTTCCAGGGGAACATTATG